CAGTGTGGAAATAATGCTTTAAATGTTGTTTTCTTTATTCCAAGTCAGGGTTCTTAAAATACATGGAAGAAGAGCATTTGCAATTCCTTATTTTTACAAATGTTTTTAATGATGGCTAGTCCATCTAGGTTTTCTGTTCTCCTCCCCTCTCCTATGATGCACCTTTATAAACAATAGTCTTTTGTATATATTTAAAAATGTGCATCTTTGAGTCTTGGGATAAATATGAAGAGTAGAATTACTGAATCAGTAACACACTTGTATTGCTGTTTTTCTGGAAAGATGTACTGATATGTATTTCTACTGGTAAGAAAGTAATACCAACACAATATAAGATTAAAAAAACAAACATAGCTTTGAATTATTGGGACATTTTGCTAATTTCTTTTAAATGCTGTATTATGTTCTTTCACTTATGATAAATGAGATACAGAGGAAAGTTTGTTTTGTTGTATTTAAGGTGTCTCAACAAGCAGCAAAATGTATTCCAGCAATGGTGTGTCCTGAACTGACAGAACAAATCCGGAGGGAAGTCGCTGCCTCTCTTCATCAGAGAAAGGGGGATTTTGCTTGCTATTTCCTAACTGACCTTGTAACATTTACATTGCCAGCAGGTAATTCCAAAATTTAATGTGAAAAGAAATTTTCATTTTATTATAATTCTGTTTTTATAGATGGATCAAAAAATGTATTTTTTTTAAAAGAAAGCAAATAATATATGTGCACCTTAAATGACTTTACCGTCCTGTTTATGCTGAAAGTCGTACAAGAGCTGCGTAGAAACAGATGCTTTCATTATCATTATTATTTGAAAGATCAGAAGTAACTGATCTTTGTGGGTTTTGGATTGTTATTTTTTTTCCCCAAGTACTGGGCACTCTACCCCAGCTCCTTTTTTAGTTTGGGTCTTGATAAATTGCCCAAACTAAGATCCTCTTGCCTCAGCCTCCTGTGTCACTGGGATTATAGGCAAGCACCACTGTACCCAGTATTGTGTCTGTGTCTGTGTGTGTGTGTGTGTGTGTGTGTGTGTGTGTTTTGCCCATTTATTTCCCTCTTTGGTTTTATCTTACAAAGTTCTCTTTTTTTGGTCTATTTTAATTTTCCCTTTTCATATTCATCTGTTATTTTGAAATTGGATAGTGATTGGTTATCTTGTGTAAGCAGAAGGATTAGAACACAGGACTTTTATGGAAAAGAGGTCATTTTTGGATTAAAGGTGCTGGCACTCTTGAGATGGCATTGCTTTTCACTAATTACACTGATTTCTATTATATTTGTGAAACAAATTTTTATTTTTCAATAATTGGCTGTTGAGAAAAATCTTCTAGGATGTCTTGTTAGTGGCATTGAATAAATATACCAAAACTCAAAGGCTTGTAAAATAAAAGCTTTCATATGGGATCTGAGTATTTTCAACTTTCATACTCAGATATAAACAGGGACATTTATAAATGGTAGGTGATAAAAACTGAGCCTTCTAAAATTTGGACAAATATCATTTGAAGTGCACACACACTAAGCTAATCCTAAATTATGATCAGATTTTTATTTTGAATTTAAAATGCTTTTTTGGGGGGAGGGGGTACTGCGGATTGAACTCAAGGTGCTTTGTTACTGAACTACATTCTCAGATTTTAAATTTCTTTTTATTTTGAGATAGAATTTTGGTAAGTTGTTCAGGGTCTTGCTAAATTGTTGTGTCTGCCCGCAAACTTGTGTCCCCCCTGCCTCTGCTTCCCAAATCTCTGGAATTATAGTTATGTGCCACTCCACTTGGCTGACTTGAAAATGCCTTTAAAAAATATTAAGGATAATTTTTCTTATGGGTACAAGTAACCTGAATAGAGCATAGAGAATTTGAGGAAGATGACAAAAAGGCTATGTGCCAGAATCATGCTTCATTTACTTTTTAAAAAGATTCAATTTGGAAGTAATATTTTGAACAGAAGTTTCCAGTGTGAGGAGAAGAAAACAACTAAAAGTTGCTTTGTAATTATTGGTGCAAATGTTGTTGCAGTTTATTTATTTGTTTTGTTTAGTGTTGTGTGCTTAACCACTGAGTCACATCCCCAGCCCTTTTTTATTTTTTATATTGAGATGGGGTCTCACTAGGTTGCTCATAGCCTCACTAAGTTGCTGAGGCTGGCTTCAAATTTGAGATCCTCCTGCCTTAGCCTCGCTACTTGCTGGGATTATATGTGTGCAGCACCATATAATGTTATTTATATTAAGTATATTAAGAAGTTTTGGTAATGAAATACAAAAAGGAAATAATATACCTATTTTACCTTTCACATGTTACATGTGTTCATTAATAAAAAAAATCTGTTGACTTTCAATGGAGAGGAAGTTATTTTAGAGGACATGACTATTAGAGGCTACCATAGTTTATCGAATTATGAAATACAAGAATGTTTTCAGTCTGATTTTCCTTTGTAGATATTGAAGACTTACCCCCAACAGTTCAAGAAAAATTATTTGATGAGGTGCTTGATAGAGATGTTCAAAAAGGTAAGCATATAATTAATGAATATAATTTATCTTTTATCTGATAAATTAAATTTTGATTTGCTTTGTTAGGGTATGGAGTAGTTTGATGTATTTTTGTTTTAGATTAGAGATGTAAGATCCTTAAAATTTCTACTTTACAGTATAAATGTATTTCTGTATTCAACATTTTTTAGAAAATAAAATTATAAGGAAGTTTGAAGTTGAATAAACTATTCCAGAGCCATGTTTTAATAACTACTAAAAATCTATTTCAGTTGATCAAATTATTTAGGTATTTATTAATAAATTACCTTTTTACATGTAAAAGATGGATTCTTCACCCTACTGAATATTTTGTAACCACATAGGCACGAAAATGAATATGTTATTTAAATTCCTCAGAGTTAGAAGAAGAATCTCCAATTATAAACTGGTCCTTGGAGTTGGCTACACGTTTGGATAGTCGACTGTATGCCCTTTGGAATCGAACTGCAGGGGACTGCTTACTTGACTCAGTACTACAAGCTACCTGGGGTATTTATGACAAGGACTCGGTGCTTCGGAAAGCCCTGCATGACAGCCTGCATGACTGTTCACATTGGTGAGCTGGCATCCTTCCCTGTTCCACCTGGACTGGATTTGCTAGATCATTTCCTTGTAGTAGTGGGGTACTTTTCTGCTCAGTTTTATTTTCTGAGAAACTAAAGAACAAAACTTTTGGGTTTTGGAAATGAAGACTGGTTGAATACCCCAGTACCCCAGTAGTTTTATACCTTTTATCAGAGGTTTAAAATAGAAACAGATGAAGCTTTAAACTGGAAACAATATTCATTTCCATAAAATAGAAACAATGTATTTAAACATTTCTAATATAACATTGTTAGTTTTATAGACTTAAATACTGATAGGGCTGGGCATAGTTTCGCTCACCTATATTTCCAGTGACTCAGGAGGCTGAGGCAGAAGAATTGCAAGACTGAAACCAGCCTGAGCAATTTAGTAACTTAGTAAGACAATATCTCAAAAAAGGACTGAGGATGTAGCTCAGTGATAAAGTGCCCCTGGAGTTCAGTCTTCAATACCCCCCCCTCCAAAAAAAAGATACCACCTTTGCTCATAATTTTGAGTACTTACTGGTATCATATTATCTTCAACTTTAAGAGAATTATGTTATATATAATTATATATTATAAGCTATTTTTTCTTCCTGAGGAAGAGACTTGTAAAATCCCATTTTTGCAAATTTTCAAATCCACAGAAAAGTTTAAAAGATAAAAATCCATATGATATACCTAATGTCTCTTTTATTTGATTGACCAATTGTTAATATTTTGGCACACGTGCTTCATCTGTTTAAGTGCTACCCTGTACTGATTTTTTTTGACATCAAAATTTTACTCTTCATTATTTCAATGTGCACCTTTTCAGAACAAGAATATTCTCCTGCAACATTATGAAACCTAAGAAAATCAACATTGATTTAGTTGTCTAGCATATAGTCCACTGTCAAATTTCTCTATAGTTGTCTCAAAATGTCCTTTATATTTTAACCTAGGATCTAGTCAGTCAAGTCTTGTTATTCTTGAAGTATAAATTCACTCGTGTTATCAAGCACAAGAGATAATTTTGTGATTTTCCTACCCTAAGTATTTTCTTGGTTCTGTGAATATATTATCTCACTTAGCTATTGTTTCATAGGTAATAAAATTGAGATTCAAAGAACCTAAATTTAATTACTCATTGGTAAGCATAGAAACCATTTAAAAACTCTTACTATTTTTCTTAACATCAGTATGAAAATTGCTTTTTCTTATTGATTGCTTAGGAGTAATGCTAATGGTCCTACTTCAGGCTATGTTACTATCCTTGAATTTTTTTGGTGTTTTTTTCAGCATTTACTAGTTGTGCATTTTGTTATATTTTAGGGTTTACATGAAGTCTAGAATATAAAGAGAACAGGGATTCCCCCCCCCCCCATTATAGAAGATCTAGTACCTGGAATAGCTTGACACTTAGTGCTTGTTAAAAAAAAGTAATTATATGTTCTTGTATTTGAGAACTAAATTTGAAGATCAAAGCATAATGCAATAGAGTAAAAGTTTGTGATTGCCTGAAAAAAAACAAAATAGCTCCCTGACTGGCAAGCCTATATGTAAACCTTGACTAGATATATAATATGCTAAAAAAGAATTTGTCACCCAGGCAGATGGTTTAGTCCTTTAGTCTTTGTCCAGGAAAGAAGGCTTTGTGCCTTTCAGGAGAGGTGGGTGCTATATGGATAGATATAGTAGTATGGGCAAGACCATTCCTATGATGAGGGGGATTCATCAGGTTAGGTAAGCCTGATGCCATTAAATGTTCAGTTTTCCTAGCCTGTCTTTGTCAGATTGCATCTTTATCAAGCAGTAGTCTGGTGATTATTTGGCCTGCCTTTGAGAGGATGAGAATGGTGTAATTCCCATGATGGCAGTTATTGGCTCTGTGGTTTTACAGATCTGCCTTATGGGTTTGGTTAATGCGACTGCCCTATAAGGTTGATTTGTGTTATTCCTTGGTATTGATGAAGTCTAGTTTCCTAGCTGGAACAGCAGATCTGGACTGTGATCAGTCTACAACTTTGCAAATGCCCTTTTAAAAAAGCCTTGTAATTTTTTTTCTCTGATGGTAACACCATGATCTTCTTGTAAGGTTGAAAGTCCTTGTAAATTTCAGCAGATGTTATTTTTTTCCTAATTGGTTTTTTCTTTCTTTCTTTTCTTTGGGATTCCAGGGATTGAACTCAGGTGCACTCAACTGCTGAGCCACATCCCTAACCCTATTTTGTATTTTATTTAGAGACAGGGTCTCACTGAGTTACTTAGTGCCTTGCTTTTGCTGAGGCTGGCTTTAAACTCTTGATCCTCCTGCCTCAGCCTCCCAAGCTGCTGGGATTAGAGGTTTGTGCCACCATATCTGGCTCCTAATTGGTTTTTGTTGTTGTTTTGAGGTTAGTAATAATAACTTTGGGCCAACTCAGAGCTGGCAGTCAGTGATTTCTGGATTGGAGTTGCTGTCAGTATTTGTATTAGGACTGGTATTCTTAGGTGTTTCTGAGTCATTTGAAGTTGTCAGTGTAGCACAGAGATAGGCAGAAATTGAGTACTGTAATCTGAATGAGAAACAAGGCTGTTTGCTTACAGCCACCAGGAAGTGTTGGAGCAGAACTTTCACTAAGTTGTCCTCACTCTAAAAGGATGCTTCAGGAGTTGGGATCCAGAACTGTTATATGGACAGGATTCCCAAAACCAAGTGTGCCTTGGGACCACATTCTCGGGTGCCTGCCTTGAGATGTCTTTGCCTAGTGTTTCAGAGTTCAGGAATAGAATGTTGTATAGAGTGCAGTAATCACAGGATCATGCTTATGTTATTTGAAGGGTAGAGTTGGGGGTGAAGATTATCTAACAAAGAGAAAAGGGGTTCATTGACAATTCTGTTTACTGAGCTCAGCACTTCAGGGAGGTAGAATGAGACAGGGTGAGAAGTCTAGGAGGAGGCAACCCATTGTATATGGGCGCTTCTTAAGCCACTGTTTGCCTAGGTGCCCTTTTTATCTGTGAAGTTCTGTTGGATATCCATGATTTGAGCTGACTTGAGTTCTCAAGACTTAATGTACAACATTGTACTTGCCTTTCACTGACATGTCAGTACAGTTTCTCAGAGGAATGTTTGGGGGTAATTAATATAAATAAAAGTTTAGTACAAGTCTTTTAGAATATTTGGTAGAATTATCTTCAGCTTGGAGTTGTGACATTTTTCAGGTTAAACTGCCAGAAATGCTGGTTGGAAGTAGACAAATAAATAATGCATGTAACTGTGCTCTTTCCAAATACTTGTAGTTAGTACCTGTGCTATCATGTGGATAGATACAGTTGCATGAAAATATTAAAAGTAAGACTAAAATGTCTTTAAAAAATTTTTAAGGAGCTGGGGATGTGGCTCACTAGTAGAGTGCTTAAAGTGTGCAAGTTTCTGGGTTTAATTTCTACCACTCCAAAAAACAATGACCTAAGCTTGAAAATCGGTTTAGAATTCAAACAGTGCATTAAAGATGAAAATGTTTTAAACACATTTTTTGCTATGTATCTTTATTTTATTCATTTTTTTAATGTGGTGCTGAGAATTGAACCCAGTGCCTCACACATGCTAGTAAGCACTACCACTGAGCCACAACCCCAGCCCTGAACATACTTAAATGTCTATTTCACTTTAGAGGTTTTGACCAACTTATTTTGTAAGACTAAACCAACATTTTGAGCATAATTGTTTCTGGTGTTTGTTAATTTTATACTTGATAAAAAGAAAAAGCATACTTTTTTTTTATTAGTAGTAATATAGTCTGCCAGTGACCCACTAATTGACTAGGTTGAGGTATTTAAAAGGCTAGATAGTATAAAGAAGGAATTGTTTTTTAGTTTTGTTGATTTTTTTTTTTAATTAGGTGATTATCAGATTTGATTTTATAGAAAGAAATCTCATGGCACTGAGCTTGATATTTTTATAAATATGGGATATTTTCTGTTTACAAAAGTAGTGATATAACAATGGACAAATGTGACTTCTTTGTGTATAGGCTCAGATGATGTTGATTGTCTTTTTTTAACTTGTAAACTGGTAATAGAAAATTGAAAGTAATTGTTCTCTTCACTAGTGTTTGGTGAAAATTTGGTTGGTGGCAGATCAAATTTTGGCTGAAGATGTCTGCTAACAGAATGGGAGCATTTTTAATTTGAAAATGATATTGCAAATAATGTAAAATTGGTCTATGAATTGCCTTAAGATTACATTAAAGAAATATTTAAAGGTAGAGTTTATAGAAGGTTTCTTGTTTTAACTGTGTAGGTTTTACACACGCTGGAAAGATTGGGAATCCTGGTATTCTCAGAGCTTTGGTTTACATTTTTCCTTAAGAGAAGAACAGTGGCAAGAAGACTGGGCATTTATCCTCTCTCTTGCTAGTCAGGTAAGCAAGGCTTATCTATGAGAAAGGTAACCCATGTAGTCAAAGTTCCTGATTTGCTTGGGCAAACCATATTGGGATAATGTGGTACAAGGAAAGGTGCTTGACTTGGCACCAGTCAACTTGGGTTTTAGGCGTGACTGCTGTTAAATACATGATCATAGGAAGTCCCCACTGCAGAATTTTGAGTAACAGATGTTATATCAAGTCAAAACGAAAAGTTGTGCAGTGATCTCGAGCACCCTGGTCTTGAGGTTGCTTTCCATATGCCTATTTTACTTACCTATAGGTTAAGTGAGACCTTACCAGGATCCCTTAATCAATGACAGGTGCTTACATGGTGGAGCTAGCTGTCAGGCCCTGAGGAAGAAGTGTACATTCTTCAGAATGCTCCCCAGTGGTGAGGCTGTACCCAGGAGATAGATATAGGCAAAGGAAAAGGTGCAGTCTGGCTTATTCTGAATTAATTGCCACTGGCAGGACTGACTTCTAATTGATGCAGGAGTGAACTTTTCCTGATAATTTTGCTTGCACATTCTTTAATAGATGAGATTGGTTGGTTCAGTGTGGTGGGTCCGTAGCCTGACACACTTATTAAACTCTTGGTTTCATGCTAATTTTATTTTTATTTTGTGAGGTATATTCAGCATAATAAACCACAAAGTTAAGATACACGCATAATAGTTCATTCGAAAGTTGAGAGAGTAGTAGTACCGATTCTCTTTGGGCCATTTGAGGGCTCACAGTGACCAATTAACATCTAACATGTAAATTGGCCATGTGTTGTCAGCATCACTAACTCTGGAAGATAAACCTATTGGATATGACAATTTGAGTTAGGTGTTACTTCCATTTAATGATTTATGTCATAAAGCTCACTGTTTTCTTGTTGTAAGTTAGTACTTTCACAGTTAATCAGGATGTGATCACAGGAAGCTCCCTTGCTGTTTGAGTCTGTTTCCCAAGATTGAAGGAGTTGTGAGCCTGGATAGTAAAGGGACTTCTTAAAATGTGTATCCTCATTTATTAGGTTTGTGAGTGAGTAGTGAATAATACCTATATTTATTAAGGTTTTTTTTTGCTTTGACTTGCCAATATTGTTTTTCTTAAAAATGGACTGAAAGTCATACTGTGAAGATAGTGTTGCTTTTTATATATCACTTTTCCAGGATTGGTAATGTTTTAAAGAAAAAATGCCTTTTTGTTTGTTGTTCTGTACAGCCTGGAGCAAGTTTGGAACAGACACACATTTTTGTCCTTGCCCATATTCTTAGACGACCAATTATAGTTTATGGAGTAAAATATTATAAGAGTTTCCGGGGAGAAACTTTAGGATATACTCGGTTTCAAGGTAAGCCATTATTCTAGAGCATTTCAGAAGTTTTTTTTTTTTTTTCAACTATGATGATGTAATTTGCACCATATCCTTAAGCAGTCATTTATGGGGGAGGTGGTCAGAGTGACTCTTGGCTACCAGCAATAACAGTGGCCATGGGAAATGAGAGGTATTCACCCTTGTGATTTTCTTTTGCCTTTTCCCAGGAGTCTATCTGCCTTTGTTGTGGGAACAGAGTTTTTGTTGGAAAAGTCCTATTGCTCTGGGGTACACAAGGGGCCACTTCTCTGCTTTGGTTGCCATGGAAAACGATGGCTATGGCAACCGAGGTGCTGGTGCTAACTTGAACACCGATGATGATGTCACCATCACGTTTTTGCCTCTGGTTGACAGTGAAAGAAAGCTACTCCATGTGCATTTTCTCTCTGCACAGGAGGTAAGCAGCATGTTTCTTCTGTTAACACAAGTAGTAAGCTTTGTAGCAGAATCCAGTCTCTGGTGCCTTTCAGGTGTGGTTTTATCTGTACTGCCAGATACATTTCTGATGATTGCAGCTTTCTGTAAATACTAGTTGGTCAGACGTTGAAATTATCATTTCAAAACTCCTTTGTGGGAGCATAGCGAGGAATTTGAAAAAGCAAGACTGAGGGATTTGTGAGTTAATAGGGTCATGGGTGAAGTGAGTCTTCCAGTTTGGAGGAATAGAATTCTAAGAATCGCAGGGCCAGTTACATTAAGGGGAAGAAGGTAAGGAGGAAAGAGAGGATAGGCGGCAAGGTGAGGTGATAAGGGTGAGATGGGAAGCCAGCAGCCAGTGTGCCCAGAAGAGGAACACTGATTAGCCAAGGCTAGATGCCTGGGGCACAGTGCTTTATGGCATAAAACAAGCACATGTAGATTGAGCAGGGGAGGTGGTGAGAAAGTACAAAAGAACACTCTCTCAGAAAACTCTTCTTGTAAAATTATTGGTCTTTTATTCAGTGAACTAGTAATGATCATAGAATGTTCATAATCACAACATTGAAGGGAAAAAATTAAATACAAGAAAGACCACAGTGTGTAATTTAAGCCTGTTCATTAATTTACTAAGTAAACTTACCTTGTTAGGTGTTTGAAGCTGTGACTTTTTTGGTGATTTGTTTGCCTTTTGCTATCCTGTGAAACAAAATGATCTTTTGGGATGTTTTTCCCTCTGGCCTTTTCTGATTATTTCCCCATGACATATGTTAAATTTAATTAAGACTTAGTTTTATGAGGTTGAAAACATGTTAAAATTTGTTGCTTTGGCCTAATTGTCTTACCAGCTGTAGGTTGCTGTCAAATCTCTGATGTTATATTTTCCCCTTTTCTTCACATTCCTCTAAAAGCTAGGTAATGAGGAACAGCAAGAAAAACTGCTCAGGGAGTGGCTGGACTGCTGTGTGACTGAAGGGGGAGTTCTGGTAGCTATGCAGAAAAGCTCTCGCCGGCGGAATCACCCCCTGGTCACACAGATGGTAGAAAAATGGCTTGACCGATACCGGCAGATCCGGCCTTGTACATCCCTATCTGATGGAGAGGAAGATGAAGATGATGAAGATGAATGAAGAAAAACTTATGGAGCAGAAGACCAAGGCATCAGAATCTGTGATGACCCCCAAGTTAGCTTGGTGCTCCAAGCAGAGTATAGCATGAAATGAACCAAATCTGGCAGGATCTGCTCAGAAGTATTTTTCTGATCCACACCCAGTGGAGATAATTAATGCATCTGCTGCATGAGGAGACAAGAGAACTGGTTGAACTACAGTTTGTATAAAACAAAAAAACTAATTTTATTAAGACAGAACTTTTTTTCTTTCAAATTGTAAATCTGTC